CATCCGTTCCGAGTCGGTATGAGTAGCTGCCCTGATGTCGGATGGAAAGCACCTTGCATTTACTGACGTTGAAATGCAATAAGTTTTGGATCGACCATTGATACACTGTATCTAAGTCACTTTGGAGCACATGTTGGTCGGCGTTCGCCTGGATCCTGCGCGAGATCTTGATATCGTCGGCAAACATTAGGACGTTTGAAGCGATTCCCTGTGCAAGGTCATTAATAAACACCAGAAACAAACGTGGACCTAGAACCGAGCCTTGCGGCACACCACACTCGACTTGTATGGGGTCCGATAAAGAGCTCCGAACTCTGACCACTAATTGCCGTTGAAGTAGAAAGTTGGCGATCCAGCTTAAAAGAGGGTCTCCGATCCCGTAATGCTGTAGCTTGGATAGTAGTATCCGATGGTCTAGACGATCGAAAGCCTTGGAAAAATCCAGGTAGATCACATCAACACCTTCTCCAGCGTCGGCTGCCTCGGTCCAACTACTGCGTGCAATTAGTAAATTAGTTGTACATGACCGCTGTCGACGGAAACCGTGCTGTTCAGGAGTGATGAGGTTGCAGTTTTCCAGATAGCACACCAGTGCATCGGCAACTATAGATTCCATGACCTTGGATAGTATAGGAAGAAGGGTTACTGGGCGGTAGTTGGAGGAATCAGATCTGCTTCCACCTTTGTGAATCGGGCTTATTATTCCAAGCTTCCACATGGCGGGAACTTGGTTCTGGTCTAAGCAGTGCTGGAAAAACTGAGCTAAATGTCCTGCCAGTTGGTTTGCTGCTACTCCCAATGCCTCAGGACGAATGGCGTCGACACCCGGCGAGCTGTGTTTGCGTAGAGAAATCAGCTTTTGCAATACAGCCTCTGCGGTAAAACTGACGTGGGTTAGTCCTGGTGAGCAGAAGACAAAGCTTGGTAGATCGCTTGGTGGCAAGACCGTTTGAAACGTGGGGGCGTATTGAATCTGCAGCGCGTTTGCAGCTTCCATAGACGTGCTTGTTGGGCCATCAGCCGTCTTGAGTGGAGGAAATCCTTGCCTCACCTTTCGTAGGCTATTAACGTGCTTGTACAGCAGTTTGTGGTTAGCACTGAAGGTTTTTGCGATGTTCTGCTGATAGGCGGCTTTGTCTTCTCTTAACAGTTGAGTGCAGTGGTTACGTTGGGCTACGTAGTTGTCCCAAGTTTCTGGTGCTGGAGCTTCTCTGTACACTCGCCATGCTACATTGCGTACTGTCATCCATTTTCGGGTTCTGCTCCTAACGAAAGAAACGGATTTGCACTTATTGCAAGCTTTTATCTCTGAAGCCTGTGCAATCAGCTGACTGAATGTGTTGACGAACTCGAGCCAGGCGACTTCTGGGGGTTCTTCTTCGAGGAAAGACCATGTTGTGGCGCTGACTAGCTGGGAGAGTCGGTCGTACCTTGTGATGGTTCGCACAGTCTCATCTTTATCATTCCGATATTCTGCATAGCAGACGAAGTTGAAACTGATCACTGCGTGATCACTGCGACCCAACGGGCAGCCTAAAACCAACGCATCAGTCATATGCTCCCCGTTGGTAAGCACAAGATCCAGCACAGATGGCCTGTTACCAGTTCTGAACCGAGTGGGCAAGGTGATGTGGTTGTGAAGAGGAAAAGTAGTTACTAGATCTTGTAAATCGGTTTTGAATTGTTCGCCGGTTGTGGCAGGGACTTCTAAACAATGTACGTTGAAATCACCCATGATAAGAATGTGAGTGTACTTCGGTTGCAAACTGCACCTTAAAGCAGCCATTAGGTGGTAGTCGGTTTCGGGTGTTGAGTTAGGGGCGCGGTACACCAAGATAATAAGGCAAGCGTCCCTGCCTTTTAACTGCAACCGGCACCAAAGAGAGTCGGGGAACTGCGAGTCTGAATCCTCCACGGCTTCGCACTGTAAGTCGTTTCGGTAGTACAGGATTACCCCTCCTCCTTTTGTGAGCCTATCGTTCCGGATCAGCGACATGCAGTGTCCAACGACATACCGCCACTTTCGTTGACGATGCTCAGGTTAAGTTCCTTCGTCCTTCAGCTGTGCAATTGCACAGCTCCGCAAAATTTCTTTGAAGGAGCATGCTAACAAATATGAAGCCTCACTTCCGTTAGTAACTGAAGTTACCCGTCATAAAAGTCAACGAAGTAGATGTTCAAAAGGATCGCCGTCTTTAGGCTTGCAGAGCAGTACTCGCCGGTTGTTATTGGCTAGTGTCCATCGATATACCGCGTCATTCGTTAACGATGTTCCTTTTAGTTGAAAGTAGAGCTTACAAGAAAACGTCTATTGCACTGGAACAACTGAAAGGCAGAGTTGTCCACGAATGTCGCGCCATCAATACGGAAATTTTGCAAAATGTTATAACCTATTTCCTCAGGCGATTTCCGCACTGCAAACAGAACGCCGGCGGGCACGTTGAGCATCTTCGTCGCTGAAGGACATATGACGGTTTTATGCTGTTTATGTTAACATACGTATTCACCGTTGTCACTGTTTTCTGGACTACATTAGTGCACGGGTAAATGGTGCCAAAGGTGTGTCGGGCCAGAATTCAATCCAAGAGAAAAGCTGATTAGACAGCGCTTAGACTGACCACTTCTATGCAACTTCCTTCACAATGGTAACAGTTGTTTTTTATGATTATGCCTAAGGAATACGGGAAGTGTGTGAACGAGATGATGATGCGAGAATCGGCTATGTGGTTTCGTATTTGTATTCTGTTCATCGGCTTACAAACTCTGGCGTGGGCTCAGTGCTTCCAAACAATAGCCTACAGGTAACACAAAGGGGAAAGAAAGATGGTCCAAGAACTTTTCATTAGGAATACAGAGCGTGCAAGCCTGGCTTATTGCTCCATTTGTAGTTGATATTCGGATTTTGCAGCATAATGTGTTAGAAACGTTATCACAGGAATAATGGGATTGTGGTGCACATTGCGTGAGAACCCACATGTGTTTGCTGTGGTCCCACGACTTGTCATTCATATGTTCAAGTCAATGAGCTTCGCGCTTTGTGCAATACGTGATTTTCAGTATCCATGGGGATTAGATATTGCCTGGAAATGCAGCTCCTCAGTTCCGGGCCAATGGAATATTGCCTCATCAGTGATTATGTTGGAATGAACGCTCATGGTCCCGCCTGAAACAAATTGGGCAGCGTAACCACACTTGTTCCCTGCAACGGCGATCAACACTTCAACGGGAGAATAGGCTGTGCGGCAGCGAGTAGACTTCAGGCGGCATAGCTTTTCAAGACTCCTTTCTCGAAAACGTCACATTTCATAATTGCAAGGCCTAATTTTATGGAATGCCTATTTTGCTAAGGTAGGTTGTTGGAAGGTAACTTTCAGTCTATGAGGGTGTAGCCAATAAGCATTTTTTTTCATTAGTTGGGATAACACTAAGCACCTATTGCACACTCCTTGCTCAGGCCAGTAACGCCTGTCCAAACGCCACCAAAATTCTACCGTAGTAACCCGGTAATGAGGCACCGAAGATTCGCTTTTGCACGCCTGTCTGCTTTCCAACCAGCCCGACACACGGTATGTATCCATCGGTGAATATGCAATGTGGCGTGCCGTAGGTTGACTCCAGCTCAACCAACCGCACCTGATCCAGCGTTTTCACGATGGACGACACTGACAAGTACAAGCGTACCCACATGCATGCATACGGTCTTCCTACACCCAAGTGAACGGGTGAGATAGACCAACATCTACCATTGGACAGTTGACAATTTAGTGCGCTCTACCTCACACCTGAGGGAGTGATCCTCTTTCCGGGATTAACAGAGTCAAGCGACCAGACTTTTGGGACTGGCTGCAGACTAACTATGGTTACAGCGCGTTTTGGAAGCAATCGTCAGCAGCACACATATGGAGCAGCATTGCATGTGGAGCGCGGTGCAGTCACATTGGGACGGATAGTGGTCTTGTTAGAGAGATCGCGTATGTCAGCCAGACAGACAACGTGTGAAAATCGATATTGTTGCAGACTTGGTTGTATTCTCACGCATGTATCCTTCAAGGCCAAATCCTGTGCTCCCAATCTAGCAATCACGGTCGGAATGTTTTTAGTCGAGGTTTACGCATCCTGTAAAGTGACAAGTTCCAGCAAAGGAGACTAATGAGTGTGACCAGAAAATGACAGATCAGTGCAATCGTAAGCATGGTACTCGCGTAAGATATTTTCAGCCAGGTGACCCAGTTTTGTGCACAACTTCATGTATACACATAAACCTTGGAGCCCCTGAATGGTCAAAGCAAGGATAGGAAATCTCCTGTATGAAGTGGAATGTCAGAACCGATCGGCTACACTTTATGTGAATCACATCAGGCTTAGTTATATACCTGAATCAATTAAGTGCAGATACATTACATAGATTCTTTTAAGCGTGCTCCTAGATGCATTTGGTTTATCTAGGCCAATGGAACTACCACAACCAATGCATCATGTTGATGTGAGTAAAGAAGTGGAACTTGCAGGGTGACATTCTACACGGACACGTCCACAATTCAGTGACTTTATAGCATTCCAACATGCGAAAATCGATCGATTTTCATCCGAAGGGGTCTGTTTGTTAGCATGAAAGACTCAGCCAACCACACCGCCTATGAGAATTGATTTGTTTCGAGCAAGTGCTTGGTAAACGTCTTTTCCAAACAGTTGGTTGTAACTTCCGTTGTGCGAGTAACTTATTCCAGCAGTGTCACTTCTGTCTTTTTACCACTCGGTGGGAGTTATAACAGGTCTCTAACCGGGAGAAGGGTTAATTTGCTCACTTACACAACATACTTGTGTACTCCGCTATGAATGTGTTTATGAAAATTCTGGCTGGCGGTTTTGATCAGACTCGCTCTTATGCACCACTTGGAACAGAATAATGTGCCAAAATAGCGAAGCTGTCTACATAATATGTAAACGATTCGTCACATGCAGAAATCCAAGGCTGCGAAACTGCACAAAAGTTCACTTACCTCAACGTAATACTGCTCAGCCTGCTTCAAATTCCCTTCCTTCTCCAAATCTTGTGCAAGGTGTAACAGAGTTTGGTTCAAAAACTCTGGTTTGTGCGCTCGCACAAGACGCAGCATATCGCGATATTGACGATGGCGCTTGTACATTGCAATTGCACGATCGGACTCTTTAACGGTCATATAAAGCCGCTCGGCTTCTTTCAGGTTGCCTGCCGCCTCCAGCTCTCCCCCTTGTGTAAGGTAAATGCTGAAGGGGAAAATAGTTTGGGTTACACTATGTGCCGGTTGTTACCCTCTACATAATTAGCATTTCTAAATGAAGATATGTTTCGACGGAGGGAGACAATCCCATAGGTCTGTATTTCACAGTTTATCGGTGTCGTAGCCGCATACCTCGTCAACTTGGTAGTCAGGCACCTATGTGCTGCCAGCGTGCGCACCCGTCCGTTGTAGATCTACCTATTACGGCTTATGGAAGACTGCTATTATGTCACCGCCGAATGTTCGCGTCCCACGACCGCAAAGAGAATATGAAGGCGAGGCAGAACTGAGTTGTATACATGAGAACACTACTGCTTTACATAGGGTATAATAGTGGTTATAGCAAAGCTACTAAAACGCATTGGTGGATCCAACTATTAACATAGGAGACACTGAATAATGTAGGGCTAATGAGAAGTGGTAAGTGAGAAAACCAATCAGGTGAGTTCGAGGACACGGCATTAGTGGAAATGTGTTCCTACGAATGACGTAAGCCGGCCAATCAGAGCAAAAAATGATGCGTTTAAACAAATGTCAAGAAACAAACGATAGCAAAACGAAGCAGGCAACTAAGAATTGTTACACAGTGCGTATGTCCGATACGTATCCTCCTAACTAGTGCTAATTGCTTTGGGTGATAGAGCTAAGATGGGCACCGTTCTATAAAGCAGAAAATGTCTCATGGACCGGGTTACGACCCAGCCACAGCTATGTGCACATCAGACGCGCGTGGTTCCCTCTGCTGTTTGTACTGTAGGGGTGTGAGTTGGGCCCGGGCTAATTACGCCTTCTCGTTTTTTTTCCCGCTACTGAGTAGGTTGTATTCATGAGTGTCTGTGTAGGAAGCTGTTGGTGGTGCGACACATGCCCCTTGTGTGGGGACGGATATCTTGTGGCTGTTCGCAGCCACCGATGTATGCAAATTTTGATACTACCAAGCACTGCAAGTGTTTGTACCCACGTACCGTAGCTACTGCAGTAAGCGAGTTAATCTCAATGATAACTCCATACGCTTCCGTGATAAAGCATGTAAAGTGGTGCATTTTCCAAAGAAGTGGTGTAGAGGATTCGAAGGGCTTTAGGCGGTTTTACCAGTTCCACCACCATGCCGAGAAGCGGCAGATGGTGGACAACCATCTAACTGAGTGGTATCTATGGAGCAGCGGCGTGCCCCAAGGCACTGTACTGGGACCGATATTGTTTCTAATCCATATAAACGATGTGCCTCAGCTACTACAATCACATTGTGCCTTGTTCGCAGATGACTTGAAAGTGTGGAGAGTAATCCGCACACTCAATGATTGCGATTTACTTCAGCAGGATCTCGACCGCCTCTCAACATGGTCTGCAGAGGTTAAGCTTCCGATCAACCCTGCCAAGTCGCAATTCATGAGGTTGGGTAGGTATAATCACGGCCGAACGTACACAGTGGCTGGACAATCGTTGCATCCCGCTCCTTTCGTGCGCGACCTCGGTGTACTCTCACGCTGCGACCTAAAGTCCACTGACAACACGAATAGGCTGTACCAAAACAGCCTTCGTATGCTTTGGGCTCTCAGGCGCAGCTTTAGCACTTGGTCCGAAGAGATTGCCACTCGCCTCTTCGTCTCGATAATACGACCAATGCTAGAGTACGGCACTCCCGCATACTGTCCCATCACCCGGGGCGAAGTAGAAAAGCTTGAGCGGGTGCAGCATGTAGCCACCAGGCTGATTCCCAACTTACGAGGTATGTCATACGAAGACCGATGTAAGAAACTAGGGTTATACACCCTATCTTATCGTCGGCTGAGGGTTGACCTCATCATGACGCACCGGATATTACATCTGAGTGATTACCCCATGTTGAGACAACTACTTCATCTGCGCACACCAAGCTGCACGCGAGGACACCGGTATAAACTTATCGTCCCGGATTTGAAGCGGGTCGCCCATCAACTCTGTTTCGAACGCAGAGTGGTGAATGTCTGGAACGACCTGCCTCAGCATATAGTAGAAGCGAACACCGTGTCTAAATTCAAGATGCTACTAGACCAACAATTTGCAGAGGCAAAGTACAGAGAGCGAAACGATAAATAAAAAGTTCATGTCCGAAAACGACGAATGATGCAGCTACACAGAGCAACCTCTACTCGCTGCTTCGCACCAGTTCTCAGTTCTGCAGTAATTCGTATGCTCTATGGAAGCACACGAGCAGCAAAGAATCAGGTGCAAAATTAGCGGCTTTCCGAAGGAAGTCTTGCTTCTGGAATCAGTCCTACACTGTTCGCAGCAGTACTCCTTCCTAACGTGCGCGGACCATTGTTCATATCTTGACTGATGCCCCTCAGTTTGTGGTTCCGACAATCCCTCTGCTGAAATAATAGACCACAAAATTGAACTGAATCCGAACATTTATATACCCGCTGTATCCCTATTGACCGCCCACCCGTGTGAGTACGCGCGTGTCGTTTTCGAACATTGCATCGGATTAGGTGATGCCTCTAGGCCATCAACTAGTTGCCATGAACGGAAGGCTTGAGGAAGCTGACCACGAGATCTAGTTGGTGCATTTCGTCCTTCTGGACTGGGGCCACAATAAAACAGGGCAGATCAGGTATATGATCTTACTTGTGAAATGACGCAGTCTCAAGCTCATTAATAACCCCCTCACTTGTCCCTGATTCTTGCCCGCAACGAATAGTGATATTGGGAGTCCATCACAATCATTTCCAACTTAAATGGCCTTCCACGCACCAGATGGCCGGTCCGCCCTACTGAGCCGTACCAAGGGCGTACATACCCCGACTCCATCAGGAACCGATCCCAGGACCTCTCTGTACAAGCGGCTTGCGATACTAGTCAGTAGGTTATGCTACTAGGCCACGAATAACCATGGAACAGTGCTATGCGTACAGGTAAAAGGTGGATACGTAAAGGGTCCCGTGAATGAATTAACAAATTCAAAAACCTCAAATGTGGACAAAATAAAATACGCCTCAGGGAAGCGTCAGGATAAGAAGATTTTAGAAGCATGGTTGTGGGAATGAGGCAGCACTATGTAAAAGGGAATAAGCAATGCTCATCATAAAGAACAGCCGGATTGCTCATCCGCCTGCACTGATTTGCGGTCATCAGTGTGAATTATGATTCCAAAGTAGCTAGTTTACCGTAATGCATACAAGAGTGTCCGTTCAGAACTAAGGTGGGCGCACAGACAACTGAGTTTGGAAGGACGTACCAGAGTTGGTAGATCCAGACGGAGAGCTCGATTCATCGACAATTTAGCAGACCGTGTCGTTGATTTGTTTGAAAGCTATTGCCCCTAAGGTAGGTGTTCGGGCTGTGTTAGGAAGAAAACCTCGGGCAAATGCCGAGGCGTCCATACGGAGCGAAATCATGGTGGGTGAGCAGAAACTGGCACGCATGGATTGGATGAACACGAAGCCATCTGGCTGAAACGGTTAATTAGTACGATAAAGGCATTGCAAGATTGGTCGGAATTGGGCCCTTTCAGATGCTTCCAAGAGAGCTTTAAATACTGTTCACAAATGCTCCAGTTGACTTTTATACTGGACAGCGTGATCAGTCAATGCATTTCGCTTCCTCGCTGCTCGTCCAAAACCAGTCTTTCCTCTTTCCTTTGAGGGCAAGCGATCTCGAGTTGCGAACAATAGCCAACCGTCCATACTGGCGATAGACGATCACTTCAGGTTAAAAGTTAGAGGATGGCGGCATATGAGACTCGGATAGCACATTATTCAGTAAATCATTATGAAAGCTCCAGGTAGCCGTCAGTAGCGCCCTGTGAACACCGAGTTCATGCAGCCTTTCCTGATGCGGAGGGTTGCGTAAACCCTTGATACTTTTTGTTGCCAGACTGTGAGATCTCTTGTGCTACCAAGTTGCGGTCTAGCCAAAATTGCCAAGCATGGACAGCGTATTCGACGTGAGGACGTACGTAGGGCATTGGGCATCACTGCGAATAAGAAGGAATCCAAAATCATGACATCTCTCCCCAAGAGACCGACGTGCTGGTTACTTCTTTCTGAAACGTCCTCGGACGGTTTGGAACAATCGCCTTCGAATTGTACGAACCGAAGTAAACTTTCTGAGCGGTCTTCTGCAGCTCGTGCACTTCAAACAGTTAGGAAGGAATACGCTAAGCGAACAACCGAGGCTCCCATCGCCGTTACTAAGCCCAGGCGTGGCAGGTGATCCAAACTCATCCCCAGTGATTGGGGCGAACAGATAGCCAACCGGATGAAGAGGCCAATCAGCACGAGGGTGGCATTTCTTGATTGACCGTAAGTTGACGTTCTAGAGTTTTCCACGTGAGCTTAAAATACCATTCACGTACTTTCGATTTTAACTTTATAATGAACGGTGTGGTTGGATAATACATTCCTGTTCCTCTGCTCTTCCGATCCAGTCTTCTCTCTGTCCTGTGGGGTGTGGCACCTAGCGACCTCGAGTTTCGTTTTGGAATCATCCGTCGATTCAGGCGAGGGACACACACTTCAGCTGGCGATGGGTTGAACCCTTACCAAAATCTCCAAACCTGTTGACGAGCTCAAGACCATGCTCTGCAGCAAGGAGCACAATTTGAGGCATCCCAACTCAGACTGATCGAAAGGTACGGGCCAACTATCAATCCAGACCGGTTCACGGTCCACAACCAGTCAAACCGTCCGCATCGGTAGAGGTCATCACTAACAGCATTACCGAACATTCGTGCGACCATGATGCTGGCCTCACCTTTGGATCATGGATAAAGCGTTATGAAGATGTGTTCCACGTTGAACTTGGGGACCATGATGACGATTGGAAAGTCCGATTGCTGTTAAGGAAACTTGGAACAGCAGAGCACTCCAAGTACATCAAGCTAATTTTTCTCAAGAACGCTCGAGACTGCACTTTTGATGGGACTGTCAAACACTTAGGCCAAATATTTAGAGAGCAGTCATCCATCTTCAACAAGCGATATCAATGCCTGAAGACCACCAA